CAGGAACAAATAATAACCTGAAAAATTGAGGAAAGCTCGGAGGTGGAGAAATGCGCCCGCCGCAGGGAAAAAAGGAAAAAACACCGACCGCCTACCATGATCGGTCTAGCCGCGGTATCTCGGCGATCGTCTCCAGCTACAAGTTCTCGACTGCGAGTAGTATACTGGTTCCATAGACAATCCCATTGACAGCGAGACATTGAATGCGGTGAAAGAGAGGAGGTGTCTGGACATTCCAACCTCTTTGAAATACATAAATCGGTCCAGACACACTAAGCTAGCTCACCATGGCAGCTTCCATAGCTCCCGAATGCAATGACTTGAAAGAGTATATTTTCCCCAGCTACTGCCACTGGCAACCACAGACAAAGAGCTCGGACTGACGCCCCCTAGAAAGTATGATACTTGTTTTCTGAAATGGTACAGCGAAAGTACGCATCCATTCTCTCCTTCTAGCAATGTAAATAATGCCCGCTAACTACCGCAGAATACCTACGTGGCAAAACCTCATCAAATGAATGCGAAGAACTATTCTCAAAGTACAAATCTTGTCTACATGTATGTCAAAGCAAGACATCGTAAAATCTCTGCGATCTAGACTAACGCTTCCAACAGAAAGCGTTGAAAGAAAAAGGCATCGACACCATGGTCGAAGAGGCGAGAAAAAGTACTGCCTCGGAAAGTGATGCTGACTATCTCTGGAAATCATGAAGTGACGTCGGTCATCGGTCCCCTCCATCGGGGACACTCTCCTTCATCTCCGCTCCTGCAGGCAACATCTCCTGGATGCTTGCCCTCCATGACTATAGTCGGGCATTGCTACGACTAGTATTCGTTGGACGGTTTCCGCGCAAACCCCCGTTACCAGATCTACGGCAAATTCATGTGTGATGGCTTGAACATATACTCGAATCTGTTCTATCTGAGCTATATATATCCCCTGACTGGAAGTGGCCTGTCTTCGAGAACGACTGGATTCTCTTATGTATAATACTTTGACGACTTCCTCGCATGCTTGTCCCTTCATTCATTATGTACTCGTATCCGGAGGTTACGTGACGTTTCTGAGCGAAATGCTAGCCCAAGTCGTTGATCAGAAATGGTCCCAACGCATCGTGTGCAAGAACTGAGCAACCCGACCGTGCAATAGACTAGGCGTTAAATCTCTTGATTATATGCGTCATGACATATTATTCACATTATTAAGCATTAATACCGGTGACCCCGTCGTCTGACATCTCCTTGCGCATACCCCGATTGAACCCTAAGTAATCCATTGGCAGCCGTGACCCCTCCCATCGAAGAAGAGCCACTGCTACCACTGCTTGTCTTTCGGGGCTGGGTCAACAGAGACCACACCTCTGCCATACCTGCCCGATGCGCAGGGAGCATGCTGTACTGCATACTGTACAGATTACGGCGGTGGATGGGAGGCACGAAACGGCCAGTGAAGAGGCAGAATATCACGCGCGGAGAAAGATAGTGCTTCCGAAGGCGATGACCGAGTTGGAAGTACTGGTCAAACATGGCGCGGAGAGGGAGTGGAATCGACTATCTCAATCAGGACTTGCTCTGGCAGTAAACTCAATGGAACGATGAATTAGATGAACATACCTCGAGATGGATGAAAGGCATAGTGGAGTACGGATGAAGAGACTTGTCCTGCTCCTCGCATAGTTCGAAACGAATACCGCCTCATATTTAGTCAGTGACTGCTGATCAAGCAGATGAGCAAAACCAACGTACCTGGTAACCGTCGGGAATCCTTCACGCGCAGCATCAACGCAAACAGAGGGAAATGGTTGAGAAAAGCCAAACATGTGTCAAGGGCCGCTTTTAGCGAGATGATCAACATTCTCGCGGAGGCAAACGTTAGATAAAATACAATCACAGTCGGCAGAAGGAAGAAGAGAACTGTGAAAAGGATAGTGCCGAGCAGAAGCTGATCAAGATCGTAATCACACGAGTCTATTCGACGCCGAAGGACGTTGCGCTTCTTGCCGCGGAAGAGATGAAAGAGAGATATGATGATAGTAAGTTGCCAATTGAATATGCGGGCGGACGCAACGTAAAACGAGTAGATATGCACAGTTAGAATGGAGACGAGATCTGAAAAAAGGGCGATCGGCATGCTGGCTCCGGCGAAACTCGAGCATCCAACGACGTATATGACATGCGGGAGGTAAGGCTGTAGATTCGCAATGCAAGCTGCCCCATAATTAGCGAGAGAGAACAATAGGTCTGGGAGAAGAGAATACCGGCCCAGTTCTCAATGACCCAGAGAAACAGGTCACCCAAGAATGCAGCAAGCTCGTTATTAAGCTTCAGGCCGGCCGGCCAGTCCATCAACCACGATATAGTCCGCTGCAACCCTTCTACTGTCCAGCCAGAGAGGACACTGTTGATTTGGAAAGCCACCCAATTGGCGTTGTCGATGATGTATGATCCCAGCGCAATACCGATGATCACATCATTGGCAACGAGCCACAAGCTGTTGTAGAAACGGATGTAATCCGGATGACTCGTAGTAACACTCTCCCAGTCGTCTTTCCTCTGGCGGAGCTTAACGTACTGTATCGGCCAATAGCAAAATTGCTGGAGTCGAATGTCAACCTGCTGAGCCGTCGCAGAGATGTCCTTCAAGGCAGCTGCATCAGGACGAGCTCGCCACTCAAGTATCTGCAGAACAACCTCGGCAATCGTACGATGGAAGACGAGGCCGATGATGAAAATACGAGTGGCCACCGGCCAGATCCACTGCCAGAACCCATACGAGACCCCGAGGACAAAGAGGTCCCACAGAGTTGTTGCAGACTCGACCACGCGTTCACCCACACTCATACTTCGCTTAACTCGGATTCCAATCAGATGGCTATTCTTTTCCATCAATTTTCCCATTTCATAAGCACAATTGACCTGGTTGATGATGAGAGGTAGTGCTTGCTCCTTAGGCGACGGCATATGTTTGACGACTGTGTGTAATTTCAACTTCTCAACCAGCTTATCCCGCGCTGCTCTATCCCGCTCCTCTTCGGCATCGATGGTCGCAGGTACAACCTCTGGTTTATCAGCGATGGACACTTTATCCCCCAGAGCAAGGGAAATCGGATCCAGGGACATGTACTCCATCCTCGTGGGATGTGGACGATGGAACATGATAACCTGAACGGATATATTCGCCTCCGGCGGACAATATATCCGAGGGACTTTACAGGACGGATGCGTTGTCACATAGAGATGGGCCGGGTTAAATGCCGTTGGCGGGTCTTGTGGATTAGTTGATCCTAGAACATGCATTGTCGATCTGCCACAGAGCGTGAATATCCGCGCAATCGGATGAGGGCTGTTGCGAAAGAGGATTCCAGCACGTAGTGCATTGTCGACATTTCGAGGCTATCCCCACGAGTCAACCGTCAGCTCCTCAAGCCGACTTGCCGCTCGGGACAGAACGCTGACTTACCTCAACATCTTCCAACACTGTGAGGACGAACAAATCCAGTTCAGAGTTCCTCCATCCAACAATCACCCCCGGCGATGAGGACCGCGGGAGGTCGTATGGCCAGAATACCCGTAGCAATCCATCGCCCATGAGCATGTTGTCATCCTTCGATCCGGATCAGAAAGAGCCTCGGCGGCGTAGCTGTTCGCGAGCGGACACACCCAGATGCGGCGGGCGAGGGTGCTGCCATACAAAAGGAAGCATCAGCATACGATCACTCAACGGCAATTGACATCGGACAGGACCATTTACCAATTCAGCTTCCTTTATCGCAAGATGGTTGATCGGAAGGACCAAGAGGAAGAAGAAGACCGATAGCAACAAAAAGCCTTTGGCTGTTCGTGTCTGCGAACAAAGGTTATTAGCTCAATTGTCCTCGCATTTGTGGTCCTGTGTCCGCAGCCATCAATTCCAAGTAGGAGCGGTTGCGCGAACCGAGACGCACTCACCACGACACCGTGATCCCACGCAAAAATGGCCAGTTCGTATAACCGCGTAACAAGATCCCACCTTGCGGTGATATAGCCCGCTACGAAGATACCGAGAGTGAGGATTGAAAAGGGGTGCATGAATCCAGAGTTGTTTAGCGTTTCCGCCTTTGAGATTTAGTCTGCGCGCATCGCTGAGGGGAGATTGAGAACTGGTGATCGGAGTAAATTATAGTAGCGGAGGAGAAAGAGCGTCAAGCCAATCCTTCGCGACAAGATAACAGACTGTCTTGTTGTTGCGGTTGCTTGTGTAGAGTACCACATCTGGCCGAGATACGGAGTACCTAGGAGCCGAGAGCGGTTGGTTGTCTCCTCCATACTCCGTACCGACCAGAATAGGTATAGCTGCAACTCATCGACTAGGTACCATTGAGTCTTGCCGTCTTCTGTACAATCAAAGTCAAAATTTCCAACAACAGTCAGTGCGGCCGAGTGGGAGGCGATAGACTAGAACCTCGAACACGTTAAAAAGGAGTCTAAATTATCTATTGGTTCGCCCGCTCACTCTTTTTCCTTGATATTTTTCGTCGTTCGAGCAATGACGCCTATTTAGAGGGTCCGTGAATAAAAAGAGTGTATTTTCCAGGGCGGACTTAATCAGAATCAAAACCTAGACTTCCAGCATTCGAGCTGTTTCTGCTCCCTGCATGGACATGCTATGACCAAGTATGATGCCAGTTGGGATGGATGTTGGCGCGTCCCGAGTAACGGTGTAATATATGTGAAATGAAAACGGGGATTCGATGCACCATCGACAATGAGACCACATGCGCAATATGAGATACCTCTTGTAATGCAGAAGATGGACGCCCAGACAAGTCGTTGTACTCATGACTTTGGGGGGAGGGGACACAACAATGCATATTGCTCAGTAGGCAAATCTATCATTAAAAAAATCTACTCTGTCCTCCGTACAAGCGTCTCCTTCCCGCCCATTCAGCCGTTACTGCTTTACGAGGGTGAGTTGGGTGAGTCAAGAAAAAAAAAAAAAAAAAAAAGGCGAGTTCAATCAATCAATCATCAAATGGCCATGATTCTTGCCATGCGATTCTTTCTTCTTCAGAACTTGCGAGCTGATCAATCAGCTCCGTCTTTGCTTGTTGAAGAAGCCTTTTTGCGTCATCATATTGCTCTGGCCGTACAACACCTTTGTCAGGCCAAAGTTCACCTAACGACTCTCTCAAGCTCCGCATTAATTCCATTGCCCTAATTGCACCAGACGCATCTTCGTTAATTGAATCAGCTTCATCCACAGAAAACTGCAAAGGAAACGGGGGGTTGCCAGAGGCTTGCACGCCTGGAAGACTCGACCATTCCTCTTCGAGTTCGAGACATCGAGATTGGTATAACGCCTCCCCGTCTATAAGGAGGTTTTGAGCAAATAACATCATGTCAAAACTTGTTGTCTCCCGAAATTCCATGGCTCTGAACAGTGTTATGTTATTGTTGTAAGTGAGCTTTCGATATAAAGCTGAGAGTGACATTTTCAGATACAGACTCTGGGCCCTTGCTTGCTCGGCAGGGTCAAGTTCATTGAAATTCTCCGGAAACGCTGGTGCATCAAGACCTGTCGATGGAGGGCCATCGTAATCAAGGAAATAAGGCTGGCGCGCGTGATCAAAAAGCGGTAACAGTTCGCTTGACTGCCAGTCTATGATACCTAGCACCTCCGATGGCCTTTCTGGGTGGACAAAGATATTCTCAGCGTGAAGGTCAGGGTGCCATAAAAAAGCGGACGAAATTGATTTATCTGTGGGTAGAAGAAATTTCACCAGGCGAAGATAATTTTTAAGAGCGGCTATCTTTTTAGGCCGAGAGGGACGATATGTACCGGGGCCATGTAACGACAGGGGTGACCGAGGTAGTTGAGCCATGTTCTGTACACAGGCAATTTCGCGAAGGCCAACGGCCGACTTGTACTGTTCCACATCATCCCCTAGATGATCATGTGAGCAGATATTTCTGATAGGACAGACTAGAGAGCCTTACAAGGGCCTCGATCAAAGTCCAATGCTATCCTACCGTCATCGAGAGATTCCCGGCCTGTCGACGGACCAACAGCGAACCGATGATTTCTGGCTACAGACCCATCCTCTTTCACAAGGACGCATCCGTCGGAATCATCCAAATCGGATGCATAATATAGACTGCCATATTTGGTGAATGACGTCGACGTCCAGGCTTTTTGATATCCTGAAATTGCTTTCACGAGTTCAAATCTGTCCTTGATACTCATTTTCGGCCATGCTTTATCAAGCTGGACGCCGGGAACCTTTTCCATTATAATGTATTCGGCGCCAACTGGGTTTTCCTTTGCTTTGGAGCTCCAAGCTAGCACTTTAGGTACCGGGGTGCGTAGCTCATTTCTAGCCTAGGAATGGAGCATTAGGATAAAGGAGGAGTGATGACGGACAAGGCAAGTTATCGAATTCTGCTTACAAAGTCCATTGTTGCCACTTCGCTGGCAGTGGTGTAGTGTGCCCGTCCCGCATTTGGGTTTGGCACTTTACCTACAACTTGTGCACCGTCCTGCATTGTGAAAAGAAAGGTCTTATTAAACATCCCGTCAGGACACTTTTCAATCCGGGCACATTGTGTATATGTGCGGCCAATTGATTCAGCAGCACACTTTGCTAGCTCATTCATATTGAATCTAGTGTGCCGTATCGCAATTTCGTGAGCTTCATTTGACAAAAAGCGGCCTCTTGTATAGCGAAACCAGTCGTCGTTTGCGTTCCAATCTGTGTGGGATGACTGGCTGAGATCAGCCGTCGATTGACTGGCTAGATATGATGACCGCATCCTTCCTTGCTTCTTAAGCAGAGAAACAACCTTGCGCATCATTTTAAGATAAAAGTTTGCACATGTAGAGGTGACAAACTGGAATAAATGATACACAATCCTTTGCAGATTATAAGGAGGAGAGCGCAAGGATGCGACTTGTCAGCGAATCATGTGATAGTTAAGTTAATCAGCGACCCAGTTCTTCAGGGCTCCAAGGGACTCTCGTTTTGCGCGGCTCATTTTCGCAACTAAAGAGTCAGCATATGACTTTCAAGTGTACACACCAAGTGCTCACCTGGCAAGGAACGTATAAACAAACTGGCGGAGAAAGAACCAAATCTCAAGGAAGGAACAATATTTCTTCAAACAGCTTTACCGCAAAATGGGAGTGCGCAAGCTGTCGAGGTGGTGAAAGTGCATCAAAAAAGTCAGGATACTCCCCTCAAGCCGTCAGCTTAAGTAGTTGAGCATCGAAGGTGTTGGCGCTTCTAGCCAGAAGCTGGTTCGCCCGGCCTAAGCCATTCGGCCATTGAAGCCCTCCAACTATAGAAATCATTCGGCCAATCCTCACACATGCAGCTTCAGCACCCAGGCAGAATCATGCTGGATGAGCGCCTGAGTGTCAAACTTTTCCATTAGGCGACACAAGTTTCAGGGAATTCGTATCTGTATGGTTCTTCAAGTCACTAGTCAGTGGACTCTCCAAAAAGAATCCAGAGATCTGGAGAATAGAGGCGCCAACCTGGGACCTGACCGTCATGTCATATATTTAGTCGGATGGGCGGGTCGTTGTCGGCCACAAGTTAGGCGCCGGTCCTTACTAAGTTCTCTTAGATACAACTAGGGAATCTCAAAATGGCAACTACATCGTAACGTCCATTAGCTGGAACTAAGACCTAAGCCGCACGTTAGCTCGTTCATTTTGACAATATACTTAAGCGCCAACGAAATGTCACCCAAGAGATATCCCATTTTTGGTGAGGTCGAGGTCAACAGGGCTGAAACTACCACCCACTTATATCCCCATGCTCTGGGCTTAGGTCCTCCAGTCGATTGGCCAAAGTAGGAAGGCCTCCAGTGGCAAAAGCAGGATTGGAGATCGTTTAGCCGATTTGGATGACCCTGCGCGTTGTCCACTAGGACCATGGAACACTGCTCTCGCGAGGCAGAACCGGCTTACTATTTAAGATTGGTTGGAATATAGGACGCTGGTGCCCTTAGTGAAGTTAGCATTGCTCCTAGGAAAGCACAGCGCTATCCTCTGTGCGGATATTTAATGATAAAACAGTCAAAGTGCAAGTGATAAAACAGGTGAGCAACTCACCTTTAATGAGTGAATTATCTTTATAAATAAAGGACGTTGATATAGCGCTGATTGAGCCACATGGCCCATACCAGTACATACTCCGCAGCGATAGTCGCGCGGCCTGAGGGCTGCACTGATGCCACATCTCAAAGACCCGTAAGAACAGAATTATATCATTGTAAACCGGTACATCAAGTCATTTGACCCTTGTATACACGCCCAACGCCTTACGCTATACCCGAGACATAGAAAGTAGCTATATCAAAGACCATCACAAAGCCTTGATGCCCTGGAAGACCTTGTTTGCCCGGAGTTTCTCATCGGCATTGACCAGATCGCGCATGATCTTCCTCTTTTCCTCGACCGTCAACTTCCTGTCGGACGACTCAATCTCCGCCTTCCACTTAAACAACATTCCCTTGAGAATGGCGCTGCCCTCCTCCACCTCTTCCTGAGAATACCCGTCCATAGACACGCTAGCCTGCTGCCCCTGGGCCTCTGCAGACGTAAAATCCTCGAGTTCTTCGGCTTTCTGCCGGGCCATATTGACCACCTTCTCCGGGAACCGAACCAGCTCCGCAACGTGGATACCGAAGGACTGGTCGCAGATACCGGGCTCGACGCGGTAAAGCAGAGTCACCTGCTCCTTCTTGGGCTTTTGTTCTCCAGTGTTGTCGTTAGGGCCGTCTCCGATGAAGGCCACCACGTGCAGGTTTTTGACGGATTTGGGGTATCGGTCCGCGAGGGCTGTGAGCTCGTGGAAATGAGTTGCGAAGAGCCCGAAGCAGCGGAGCTCGGTGACAATGTGCTCGGAGATGGCCCAGGCCAAGCCAAAGCCGTCGTATGTGCTGGTGCCGCGGCCCAGCTCATCGATGATGATGAGGGACTCTGAAGTCGCGGACTTGAGGATATTGGACGTCTCAAGCATCTCGGCCATGAAAGTCGAGACACCCTTGAGCTGCGAATCGCTTGCGCCGACACGGGCGAGGATACAGTCGAATATCGTCAACTCCGCCTCGGAACAGGGCACGAAGCAGCCTGTCTGGGCCATGAGCGCAATAACGCCGATTTGACGGATGTAGGTCGATTTACCGCCCATGTTTGGACCGGTGATGATAAGGAAGGAGGACTCGTCGCGGACCAGGGATACGTCGTTGGTGATGAAGGAAATGTCGTCCTGCATTTCCATGCAGGGATGCCGCGCCTCCTTGAGGATCGTATTTCCCGTGCCGCGCGGGTGCATCTTAGGGCGGACATATGCGGTTGGAGCATGCACAGCAGCATGGGCGAAGCTCACGATGACATCGAGATGTGCGAGGACACTGGCAAGCTGTTCCAGCACGGGACAGTAGGATGCAGCCACGTTCACCACCTCATTCACCAACCCTGTCTGGGTCCGGTTGTAATTGGACGAGAGCTGATCATGCTCCCGGCGCAGAGCTTGCATTGTGGATGTGGTAAAGTACACTCCATTCTTCTGGGTCGAGCATTCCTGGTACTCTCTCTTGTTTCTGATACAGCCCGCCTCGTTTCGGGTCAGACGGAAGCACCAGCCATGCACGCGGTGGTTTTCCAAGAACAGCTTCTTGTCTACCTCCTGATCCAGATCCTTCGCCACGCGGCGATGCTCCACGTCCATGTCATGCCGCAGCTTATCCAATTTCTTCCGAATGATGCGCAGACTGTCATCGAACTCTGGCTTGATGATGAACTCGTGGTTCTCCAGCGCAGCCAGGTCGACCGTAGTCTCCACCATTTCCTCCAACTTGGCGAGGCTGTCCGAGTGGCTGCGCAGCTTGCTGGTGTACTCCGTCTCCAGGGGAGTCTGATATTGCTCGTCCATGACATTCTCGAGCGAGCTGACAAAGCCCGGCAGACGAATCGCAACCTGATATACTCGCACCACATCTTCCAAGTTGGCGTGCTTCCGCTGGAACCGCTTCGCGAGCCTATACAGATCCGGAATGGAGCGGAGATGCTCCTCCTGCAGCGTCTGTCTCAACTCCGTATTCTCGACGAACGCCTCAACGAGCTGCTGTCTCTTCTCAATTTCAGCGAGATCCATGAGCGGCTGCTTCAGCCATTGCGCCAGCAGGCGACTGCCGACAGGCGTCTTGCAATGATTCAATAAACCGAACAAGCTCATGGTCCTCGATCCGTCCCGCGGACCAGGCATGAGATTTAACGCCCGGAGGGCAGAGGCATCCAGCTTCATAAACTGCGACAAATCATGCTGGTAGAGCTGATACTGTCCGAAATTGCTCGGGTCGGACATGACACCTAGATACTTGATCAAAGCCGACGCAGAGCCCATAGCGAGCTTCAGCTCGGTCTGCGGCAACGTGGCCGCCGAGCGCTCGACCCTGAGCAGTCGAGTGAGATCCTGCTCGATATCCTTCACCCCAAAGTCCGCCACCGGTCTCTCAGAGATAGCAATCCCACAGTTGTCAGCGATAGCCCGAATCTTGCCCAGCTCCACATCCTTCCGGTTTGCGTCCATCTGCACCAGACACTCCTTGACACCAAGCTGGATAATCAACGACTCAAAGTTCGAATAGACATCGTTGTCCAGGAACTCGCTCACACCCAGTTCCCGCACACTCGCATCCGCGAAGCAGACTCCGACACCACGCGCCTCAGACGCCTTGGCCGAAATCTTCACGGCCAGAATCACCGGCGACGATTCCATGGCGAGTCCGCCCACGCTGCCCAGCTCCTCTTCCACGTCCTGCAGGTTTCCCGGACTGGCTTGTTTCATCAACTTCCACTGGCCTCTGCCTGCTCCAACCGAGCCCCAGATTTCAACCCGTTTGTTGAGCTTGAAGAGTGCTTCCCGCAGGAAATTCCGGAACACGGTCACGCTCATGGTCACGGAGGGCAGGCCGCCCGTCTCACTGCGACCCAGGTTGCGGAGAACGGAGGTCGTTTTGTAGACCGTCCGAGCGATATATTCGGCCTCGGCGCCATGTGCGGAGTACCAGTCGCCGCGGTCGAAGACTCGGATTGTTTCATCGTTGCCCTCGGAAGAGAGGGAACGGTAGAAGCGTATGAAGCCGACTTCATCGTCGACCTGGAAGTGGTTAGCCGGGTAAAAGAATGATTTAACAGCGTCGAGGGTGACTACCTTGAGATCAGGTCGAGACGACATTGTGCTAGCGTTGTCCAATACAATGAAAGGACAGTCGGGAAGCTAGCTTTCTTGTCAATTTAAAGCGTCTGTGTTCTGTTGACGACTGATAAAAGTAGAGCTGCGGCAGACGCGACTTGTGGCAACGCGGTCATGTGAGCGCGCGTCTCGCGTTGAAGTGGTTTTGGGCCAATCAAATACAACAGATGCTACAAAGCATATTTAACAGTTGTGCTCTGAATTGTATTCCATTATTATAGAGACCTTGAGGGATGTGTATGCAGGTAACAGATGCAGCGCTAATGTACATGATGCTTG